TGGTGGTAAGACGGCAACTGGTAGTTCCAGCAGCACCTAGTTGCACTGGTGGTGGTGGCGTTAGCACATTAATGACATAAGCAAAGCAGTGGCTGCATGCTAGTAGTGCGACACATGCAAGTACGAATAGTCATCATACACATGACAGTGGTTGTTGTTGTAGACTGCTTTGCGGTCGTGTAGACAGCGCAGAACTGGTATTCATGAGAATACGCGTCGCCCGAAGAGCACTAGTAACAACAAAAGTTGGCTCTCGCCATCGCAATCCGGAACGCGCTGCCTGGAGCGAAAGGAATGCAAGAGGCCCTGTGTGATTTCTACGCAGGGCGCCAGTGAGGCCTGCGAAGTTAAACTGGAAGCTGCAGGCGGGTGTAGTAGAATGGGGAGGGGGTGGGGGATGGGAAGTCAGAATACAGTGAAGAACGAGCATGTAGCACGTGTATCAAGTTGATGTGGTAATCCTCAAGAGACGTCCTGGGCCAAACTTAGCGGAACCTAGACTGGGGAGGGGGGCGGAGGGGAATGGAGGCAGAGGGGGAATGGCAAGAGGGAGGCGGAGACGAAAGGAGAAGGGGGAGCGAACGAGCACAAAGGGGAGGGAAGGGAGGGCAGAGGAAAGAGAACGAGGAGTGAAGCAGCGGGGGATGGCGGAAGTGGAGGGTTTCTCCTCCTCCTCCTCCTTCTCCTCCTTCTCCTCAAGTGCCTCCTGTGTGCTAAGTTCCTATTCCTCCTCCTCCTCCCCCTCCTCCTCCTCCTCCCCCTCCTTTTCCTCCTCCCCCTCCTCCTACTATGATTCCTCCTCCTTCCGTATCTCCTCCTCCACTACCTCTTCCTCGTCCTTCTCCTCCTCCTCCTCCTCCTCCTCCTCCTCCTCCTCCTCCTCCCCCTCCTCCATCCCTCCTTACACGCCGTCGTGCCGTGTCTCATCTTGCCCCTCGACCCCATCCCCCATCCCGCTGCCCTCCGCACTCCTCGCCCCCCCCCCGCCCCCACCGAAGGGAGAGAACGCATGGGAGGAAAAAACGGAAGCAGCGGAGGCAGAGGCGAGGCGAGGGCGGGAAGGAGGAGGGTACGCCTCCCTCTCTCCTGCACACCTCCCTCTCTCCTCCTACCGTTCCCCCTCCTCCTTCTCCCCCCGCTCCTTCTCATCACCACCACCATCATCATCCGCTTCACCGCTACGATCCTCGTCCACCTGCTCCCGCTCCACATACTCGCCACCTGGCTCCTCCTTGTCCACAATCCACCATATTCGTCTTCCTCCGCCGCAGCCTGAACCTGCCAACCCTCCCTCCCTACTCCGTCCTCTTCTCTTCCTCCTCCTCCTCTTCTCCCCTCCCTTTCCCCCGCCCCTCCCATCCTCTCCCTCCTCCTGCTCCTCCTCCTTATCATCCTCCTGCTCCTCCTCCTCCTGCTCCTCCATCACATCTCCTTCTGCTTGACTCCTCCCTGGCGCACCGGGAAGCCGGTCGAAAGGGCTGGCCTGGCCTTCGCCTGAGACTTCCTGACCAGATATGATCCTGGAGCTTAACATTCGCATGGAGGGCGGCCCGTTTTCAAAATGCGGTTCTCGCCGAAGCACCACGCGCACTCGTCTTGAAAATGTACAAGTGCTTCGTGGATGGATGGCGGTCCGTTTTCAGAACGTGGGTCTGGCCTCAACGCCGCACACATTCGTCGTAGAAGTACGCAAAAGTTTCACGGATTTAGGCCGGTCCGTTTTCAAAATGTGGCTTTCGCGCTAGCGCCGAGCACATCCGTTGTAACAAATCGCAAGAGCTTCGCGGATGGATGGCAAATCCTTGTCAAACTGTGGCTCCCATCTCAGCGCTGCACGCAGCCGTCGCGCAAGTTTGCAAGACGATAACGGATGGAGGGCCGTTCCTTTTCGAAACGTGGCTCTCGCCATGGCGCCGCGCACATTCGCACTAAAAGTTTGAATGAGCTTCACGGATGGAGGGCGGCTCCTTTTCAAAATGTGGCTCTCGTGCTAGCGCCAAGCACCTTCGTCTTAAGAGTTTGCCCGACGTTCAAGGCTTCTCATTGCTAAGGTCCCAGAGTGTGTTGGCGCGATGACGGGATGTCAGGACGCAGCGGTCACGTGGATTCGCGATGTTGAAGTCCCAGGAACGGCGTTTTAGTGCGTTTCAGGATCGTCAAGATGCATCAGTAGCTGTGGTTCGCAGCGTTGGTTTCCCAGGAGTGGCGTTCTGGCACAGCTTTGGATGTTCAAACGATCGCCTTCCAACATGGCACGTCCCTCACTGAAAATGAATCCGTTGGGAGGCCGATGAAGAGTGAACTTGGAGGGAGTGTTGATTACAATATCGTCGATTACTCTTGGATTTATCTCCTCCTCCACCTCCGACGACGACGACGACGACGACGACGACGACGACGACGCCGACGCTGACGCCGACGACGACGACGCCGACGCCGACGCCGCCGCCGACGACGACGACCACGACTGGGATCCGACCGATCCCCCAGCCAGCCCCGCCGTCTCGAGGCAGCAGCACGATGCGCCGCTTCGCGTTCGGCGTCGCGTCCTGTCGGGAGGAGGACGAGGAGAATCGGGGGCGAAACGAAGAGAGGGGCGGAGAAGAGGGTGTTGTTTCAAGTTGACACTGCCCACAATGTGTGAACTTAGGGGAAACTAGATCCTGGCGAAGGACCCAACCAAATGCGGTTGTGAGTAACGCAATTGTTGGTACCGTCTCCGGTGGAGCTCCTTTGGGGGCACGAAGCGTGTGAGGGGTGTGCCAGCATGGGCGCGGTGCTGTCATGCGAGCGCAGCCAATGGGGCCTTCGGTGGAGCTCCCAATGGGGCCATGAAACGTGTGAAAGGCGTGCTGAAATGGGTGCGGTGGTGCCATCTGAGCGCAGCCACTGGGGCCTTCAGTGGAGCTTCCCATGGGGCCACGAAACGTGTGAAGAGCGTGCCAACATGGGCGCGGTGGTACCATGTGAGTGCAGCCACTGGGGCCTTCGGTGGAGCTCCCCATGGGGCCACGAAACGTGTGAGGGGCGTGCTCACATGGGCGCGGTGGTACCATGTAAGCGCAGCCACTGGGGCCTTCGGTGGAGCTCCCCATGGGGCCACGAAACGTGTGAAGGGTGTGCCAACATGGGCGCGGTGGTACCATGTGAGCGCAGCCACTGGGGCCTTCGGTGGAGCTCCCCATGGGGACACGAAACGACTGAGGGGTGTGCCAAAATGGGTGCGGTGGTGTCATGCGAGCGCAGCCAATGAGGCTTTCTTGGAGCTCCCCATGGGGCCACGAAACGTTTGAGGGGCGTGCCGACATGGGTGCGGTGGTGTCATGCGAGCGCAGTCACTGGGGCCTGCGGTGGAGCTCCCCATGGGGGCACGAAACAACTGAGGGGCGTGCCAACATGGGCGCGGGGGTGTCGTGCGAGCGCAGCCAATTGGGCCTGCGGTGGAACTCCCCATGGGGACACGAAACGTGTGAGGGGTGTGCCGACATGGGTGCGGTGGTGCCATGCGAGCGCAGCCACTGGGGCGTGCGGTGGAGATCCCGGGTGTGCCAAAATTGGTGCGGTGGTGTCATGCGGCGCAGCCACTGGGGTCTTCGGTGGAGCTCCCCATGGGGGCACGAAACGTGTGAAGGGTGTGCCAACATGGGCGCGGTGCTGTCATGCGAGTGCAGCCACTGGGGCCTTCGGTGGAGCTCCCCATGGGGCCACGAAATGTGTGAGGGGGGTGTGCCGAATTGGGCGCGGTGGTGTCATGCGAGCGCAACCACTGGGGCCGTCGGTAGAGCTCCCCATGAGGCCACGAAACGTTTGAGGGGCGTGCCGACATGGGCGTTGTGGTGCCATGTGAGCGCAGCCAGTGGCGCCTTCGGTGGAGCTCCCTATGGGGCCACGAAATGTGTGAGGGGTGTGCCGAAACAGAAACATGCGGAGGTCAGAGGCAAAGAGGGGGAGGAGGAGGAGGAGGAGGAGGAGGAGGAGGAGGAGGAGGAGGAGGAGGAGGAGGAGGAGGACGAGGAGGAGGAGGAGCAGGAGAAGCAGAAGGAGGAGGAGAGGAGGAGGAAGAGAGGAACGCGCGGCGCTGTCTCTTCAAAACGAGAACCCAACACCACAGGGTGGTTGGGAATGAAGGGTGCTGTTCACTCCTCAATCTCCGGTGGCATGGCCTAGACACCACATCCCTTTGAGCTCGGGGTAGGAACCACGCTCCATCAATCCCCGGCGATCCGTGTCATTGCATCCGGTAGAACTGGGATGGGCGGGGAAAAGGGGGGGAGGAGGGAAGGAGGGACGCTGATCTCGGGAATCGAGCCCCGGGACCTCTCGCGCCCGAAGCGAGAATCATGCCGCCAGACCAGGCAGCCAGCTGGAGGGCGGAGGGAGAGGGGAGACGTAGAAAAAGGACACGAAAAGGGCGTGCTCGCGCCACATCCGACATCCCACCCCTCCCAGGCCGTCCCTTCCCGCTGCGCTGCGTCGCGCTCGATCCGCCGACCGGGGTGTGCCAGAAGGCCTGGGGCCCTCAAACTCGGGGACTCGACCCATCGTGTGTTGCGCCACCGGAAGGGGAGGACATCGTGCCTGCATTGGAGGCGGAGGGGGCGGAGGGGCAGGAGTAGGAAAGAGGAGCAGCAGCAGGAGTAGGAGCAGCATGAGGAGTGCGAGGATCAGGGGAAGCTGGGGGAGAAGACATGATAGGGACGGCAACGACGAGGAAGGAATCGGATCCAGAAACGTGGCCCGTGCTGGGGTGAGAGCGCCGTTAAACGACGGGAGCACGGCAACCATCCTGAATGTAGCCACCGCTGCAGTGGGACCACCATGTTTCAAGTACACAAGACGTTCGGGTCGAAAGAAGCAAAATGCGAATGCGACGGATGGCCCACATGGGAGCCCATGAAACAGCGAGTAGCCGCAAAAAGATGCGATTTGATGTCTGCGAAACATGTGTAGAGCACCAACGAGTGCAATCCCCGAGCGAAAGAGACGCCAGAGAGGCGGCGCCACGGCTGGACACGGTCAGGCGAGCGAGGAGGGTCGTACTCACACTGTGGAAGCGCAGAGGAGGGAGGCGGGGGGGGGGGGAGGGAGAGTGGCGAGGGAGGAGAGGGAGGGACGTTGACAGGAGGATGACCGGGAGCGGCGGGAGGGTTTGTCATAAGCGGTCCCCGAGAGCCTGACCACAGTGATCAAGTCAAATCAGCCTCGCACTGCGAAAGGACAGATAACAAAAACAAAAACGCAACGCCGACTCAGGAGGCGTTGCGCAAAGAGGCGCAGAGAGGCCTTGTGTGCCTCCTCGCGCACCTGGACCAGAGACTGCAACGCCGCCATGCCTGGAGTATATTTCAAACCAGAAGACGACGGCAAGCTGAAGTCGCGGGGTGGTGGCTGCCAAGCCACGTAGACGAAATGTGACACACCGCTCGGCGAAATCTAAGTCACCGTGTTCTTCGCACGGTAGTGCGGGCAAGGTCCAGAATAGCTTCGATGCAAAATCGCGGAACCACCCGACAACGTCCTCAGCTGGCGCTCCCCGCCGAGCAAGAAGCAGCGCGTCGACGAGTGTGCTCCGCACACGTCGGCGCCAGGCAGAAAGAACCCCAGACATGATCGCGTCGTGGAAAAAACAATACGAAAGTTTTTAGCGATTTTCGGCCCCGGGGGGCCCGCCGGGCCTCGGGGCCGTCAAAAAACGACTCAGGATGAAAAACCGGCCCCGGGGAAAGGGTCGGGACTTGCGGGGACGCCGTCCTAAAAAAATCAGGACGTCGCATATATGGGACAGGGTCTCAAAAGGGCAGGGACGGGAAGAGGGGAAACGGCAGGTGAGGAGCGCGCGTGGGAGAGGGGCCAGCGCGCAAGCTACAGACCCAGCCCGCGTGGGCCGAAAGGTAAGACACTCGCGGAAGGGCTCGGGGAGGCTCATACGACAAAATGCGTCGCTGAGATCTGCCCCCCCCCCCCCCCACCCCACCCCACACACACCCACCCCCCAGCGAAGATGTCATCGTCGAGGCCCAGCTCGAGGTCCGCCGGGGGGGGGAGTAGGCCAGGGAGGAGAAAAAGGGAGCAGGCCAGGGCAGGGAGGAGGCACGGATGGCGAGGCGGGGAGCGCCGCGGCCGAGAGGGCTTGTTTTTTTTTTTGGGGGGGGGGGAACTCGGGGACTCTGCTCTGTCCTGGGGAGCTGGCAGGGGGAGGGAGGAGGAGGTAGATAGATAGAGCGGCATAAGGGGGGCGGAGCAGTGCGATCAGCCGCATGGATGGGCCCCCGCCGTCGCCGCTCAGAGCGGCACCTTCATCGTGATCACAGCGCCACGCGCGCCGATCACCTTGCCGAACGAGGCGTAGTCGAGTCGGCCATCCATTTTCTCATAGTCATAGCCCTGCCAACCACGCAGCCAGCTCATCCTCCATGACTCCCGCTGGTGGTTTGCCCGTCTTCACCGTGGCTCCCGCTTGGATCAGCGCTCTGTGGATGCTGTCCTTGATGTTGCTATGCTGCTGCTGCTCCTCTGAAGATCCTCCTCGGCCCCCGCGTCGGTCCAGGGCCCCTGCTCGATGTGCAGTGTGATATTCGCCTGGTTGCTGTCGTGGCACTTGCTGATCTTCAAGTGCTTCACCTTGTTGAGGACTGTCGCCACACTGACCTGGTCCACGAACTTCCCGTGCTCTGCGAGAATGCTCCTGGTCTTGGCGCCCACGTCCTCGGAGCACAGGGTCGAAATAAGCGTGACGTAGAGGTGTCCTTCTGGTGGTCCCAGCGAATGTCCCTTGCCCGCCTCCTTGCACTTGTCCGCGTAGATCTTCCTGCAGGCTCGGAGCGCCTTGATCACCTTAGTCTGAGTCGGCACCAGGTACGTGCTGTAGACCGCGGAAACGACCCAGGCGATCTGCTGCGCGTTGGCCAGCACTTGCTTGATCAGCACCGTGAGCAACTTCTTCAGCTTGGGGTCGCACTTGCTCTGGTAGGCTTCTCTTCCTCGTTGTTGGCGTCGTACTTGCTGTCCTGAAGCTGCGGCTGCTGCTGGGCTTGTCACGCCCTGCTGCTCTTCCTCTTCCTTGTCCTGCATGTTGGCGTCCCCGTCCGCGTCCTTTCCGTCTGCCTTTTGCGCCTTTCTTGTGGTGGCCGCCCTTGCCCTTGGGGCGCGTAGTCTTGCGCTGCTTGCTGGAGCGTTCCGTATCCGCCATGCTGCTCGCCACCTCCTCGATGTCCTTCTCGTTTGGCACGCGCCAAGTCATCCTGGAAGAGGCCGATGTCTAGCGAGACCTCGTGCTCTTCGGTGGGGAGGTGATTCGCGCAAACGTGGCCCTGGAAGCTTGAGAGATGTGCAAACGGATGCAGACGTGGACAGAGAAGACAGACTGGGTTCTTGATCGGTGTCAACGGGTAGTGGAGCCTGGTGTTGTCGGCAACGCAGCGCTTGTGTTTGAGAGATCGCAACAGATGATCTTCGGCTTGGGCTCGATCGAGAAACGTGGTACGACAGAGCGGACACTGATTGGTGATGGTGACTGCTGCAGCTGCTGATCGAAGCCCATGCTCTCCTC